CAGATCCATACGGCACATGGGTTCTGTATCTGAGGCTCTCCACCCTGCTCAAGGCCAGGGTCTTAGGGTTGTCTCCACACTGTCCCCACCACAAAACACATTAAATTCACCCTCACCACTGCTAATTCCTTCTGCTGATACGGGGCAAGCCGTAGAGGATTTGTACCAGCGGAGCTGTAATAGTCTGGATGAGGAAAAGAGACGTCAGTTACGTGAGCTGCTAAATACTTTCTCAAATATATTTGCTGCCAAGGACGAGGACTGTACACACACAATCTTGGTACAGCATGACATAGACACTGGCGAGGCCTGTCCTATCCGCCTCCGTCCACGTCGTCTACCATTAGCTAAGTATGAAGCGGCAGAAGAAAAGATGTAGGAGATGGCAGCAGCAAGTGACATCGAGCCCTCAAGGAGCCCGTGGGCAGCCCCAGCTGTCCTTGTGAGAAAGAAGGACAACTCTTGGCGGTTCTGTTTTGACTACCTCCACCTATATGACATTACCCATAAAGACTCTTACCCTCTGCCACGGAGAGATGATGCCCTGCATCACATCACTGGTTCCAGCTGGTTCAGCTCCCTCGACCTTCGGAGTGGCTACTGGCAGTCGAGCTAACACCAGAAGTCCTTTGGCCTATGTAACACACCTGCGACCTTTGAACACCTGATGGAGAAGGTCTTGGCTGACATTCCTTGGAACAAATGTGTTGTCTACCTAGATGATCTCCTCTCATGTGCAAAAAGTTTTGATGGCGCCCGGTCTACAAGAGGTCTTCCGAGCTATCCGCAGAGCTGGCCTAAAGCTTTACCCAAAGAAGTGTCACCTGCTGTGGCGTGAAACTGCCTTCCTGGGGCACATAGTCAGTGGTACCGGGGTGTCCACAGACCCCGCCAAAGTGTCTGCTGTGAAGGAGTGGCCAGTTCCCAACAACATCACCGAACTGCGGAGCTTCCTCGGTCTGGCCTCCTACTACCGGCGGTTTGTCAGGGATTTTGCTTCTGTTGCCAGCCCTCTGCATCGGCTGACTCAGAAGGGCCAAGTATTCCAGTGGAGTGAGGACTGCTCCACCGCATTTGGTAGAGGCACCAGTACTAGCTTTCCCAGACCATGAGCGGCCCTCTTTTGTGGATATCGACACAAACAATGTGCACATTGGAGCTGTTTTATCAGGTATGAGAAAATGGCGAACAGGTCATCTCCTACTACAGCCGCTCACTTAACCGGCTAGAGAGGAATTACTGCGTTACGCACAGAGCTGCTTGCTGTCATCTTGGGGCTGCGTCATTTCAGGCCCTACCTTTATGGGAGGAAGTTCCTCCTACGAACTGATCATGCCTCCCTGACCTGGATGATGAATTTTAAAGAACCTGAGGGGCAGTTGGCTCGGTGGCTGGAGACCCTGCAGGACTATGACTTTGAGGTAAACCACCGAGCTGGTCATCTCCATGCCAATGCGGCTGCCCTGTCACAGCGGCCCTGTGAGGAGGCTGATTGCCGCTACTTTAGGCGGGTTGAGGAACGACATCCAGCAGCTCCAGTAGTCGCGGCACTGCAGGTGATGGGGATGCCACCTCGTCTACTGGCCACAATAACGCCATCGAACCTTGCTCTGCAGAACAGCTAAAGTGTGAGCAGAGGCAGGACCCGGTACTGGCCAGAGTTCTAAGCTGGCTGGAAGCAGAACAGCACCCAGAGTGGAAAGCTGTGGCTCCTTTGGATCCTGAGACCAAGCCCCTCTATACCCAGTGGGACAGACTTACCCGTCGTGATGGGCTCCTCTACCGCCAATGGTAGTCACCAAGGGGTGCCCACAACCTTTTCCAGCTCATTGTGCCCCGACGACTGTGCTCCAAGATCCTGCAGTGTGTTCACGGATCGGGGGGGGGGGGGCATTTTGGGGTGTCCAAGACTCTAAATCGCCTCCGTTCACGCTTCTACTGGCCAGGTTGTCATCAAGATGTAGAGTCATATGTACAGCAGTGTGACACTGTGTGTACTGCTAAGAAGGGCCCCACTAGACGATCCCATGCCCCTTTGCAGCAGTATCAGGTGGGGGCCCCCATGGAGCGTGATGGGTTAGGTTTGGGTGCCTTGAACGCACCATGTTATAGCGCACATGCGCCGAGTGTTTTTGTTCCGTGTTGTGAAGCCGACTGGTTTTAGAGTTTGAGTCAGTCAGTTCTGCTCTGTGTGGTTTTGGCGTGCGCTGTGGCCGACAGCAGTGCTGATTCCAGGTAATTAATAAACCACTTTCTAATAAAATCACAAGCTGCCCCCGCTTCATTTTACCGCTCCGCTACAATATCTATGCTGATAAAATATAATGTAAATAATATAATATACCTGGGTTGGATTACATTAGATTACATGACTCAAGAGGACTAGAGTATTCATACGTATTAATCGCATTAATTCAGATATAGTATACACACTCCATATTTACACAAAGGTGACATATTGCAAAATATATTGCACTGCTTATGGTAGAGACTGGGAGAGTGTGGGAGTCTGTGTGTGTCACATTTTATTTTAAATCACCACGTGACGTGACTCGATCATGAGGAAATCGCTCAGTGTGTTAAGCATAAAGACTCCAGACTCCAACATCCCAGAGTGAAAACAGACCATGTCTTTGTTGATCTCTAGTCCTAACCCAGCATCACATTTTCCTTTCCAACGGAAGGGGGAGCCATTGCTTTACAGCCATTGGAGTTGAACCTCCTCCACCACCGGCCACTTAAACCCCCATTTTCATCCCGATCTAATTCAGGATTCGTAAAGTTTGATCCGAGTTTGATCAGAGTGAGATCACTAATGTTGCCAAATCATGATTTTTTTTCAAAACAATGATTCTCAGATGAAGGTATTACTAATCTACCATCTGTGTGGAGAGCACCGTACCAACCCGCAGGGTGCGGTGCTTTGCCAACACCAAGCCATGGGTGACCCCCCAGCTTCAAGTTCTGCTGAACAAGAAGAAGAGGGTGTTTGCTTCAGGGAACAGGGATGAGCTTAAAATAATACAGCGGGAGCTCAAGCAGGAGATCAGGAAGGCCAAGAACACCTACAAGGAGAAGCTTGAGGAGCAGCTGGGGCAGAACAAGACGCGTGATGTTTGGAGGGGCCTGAAGAACATCACGGGTCATGGACTGAGTGGAGCCAGCGACACACCAGGGGGTGACCAGAGATGGGCCGATGAACTGAATGAGTTCTTCAACAGATTCGATCAAAGGCCCCCACCCCCCTCCTCCACCACTGCTTCCACCTCTTCACACTTCTCCTCACCAGCGACCACAGCTACCATCCCCCATCTAAACCACCATCCACAACACCTCTCACCTACACCCCTGCCCCCCAACCCCCAGCTGTCAACCTCCCCTCACTCCCCTCTCTCCCTGACATCTGAGCAGGTGAGGAGAGAATTAAGGCGACTAAAGAACAGGAAAGCTGCAGGACCAGATGGAATCAGCCCTAGACTGCTCAGGAACTGTGCTGACCAACTCTGTGGGGTGGTCACGTACATCTTCAACCTGAGCCTCAGTCTGGAGAAGGTTCCGTCCCTGTGGAAGACCTCCTGTGTGGTTCCAGTCCCGAAGACATCGCACGCCAGGGAGCTGAACCACTACAGACCCGTCGCCTTGACCTCCCACCTGATGAAGACCATGGAGAGGCTGATCCTCAGTCACCTGCGCACAGAGGTGAGCTCTGCGATGGACCCGCTGCAGTTTGCCTACAGGCAGAACGTTGGGGTGGATGACGCCGTCATCTACCTTCTGCACCGGGCGCTGACTCACCTGGAGACCGCCGGGAGCACTGTGAGAGTCATGTTCTTTGACTTCTCCAGTGCTTTCAACACCATCCAACCGGCGGTGCTGCGCAGGAAACTGGTGGATGCAGGAGCAGGGGAGCAGCTCGCCGCGTGGACCACCGACTACCTCACAAACAGACCCCCCAAACCTTCCTGCGGGTGGTGAGTCCACTGGAAGATATTAACCGCCCTAACCGGGATTCGAACTTGTCCAGGAGGTGAACCCTGGGGTTCCAGACCAATGACAGAGACATTGCCTCTGGGCCAAAGCGCCACCTATCTATCTATCTATCTATCTATCTATCTA